ACCGTCATCCTTCAGAGCATGTACAAGACATGGTGCTCGATGGCTGTGCAGACAGCACGTACCTCCAGGATTTCCTGTGTCTGTTTACCTGCGGCAGGTCGAATCCTTTCTAAAAACGTGCGCAGATGTAATCCTATGAAAGTCCAAACTTCTGATGCCCTCTGCAGACCTGACGTCAGCTGTGTTAGCACTTTCAGGCTTTTCCTTTTGGCTCTGAAGCAGTGAAGCTTTACTCAGGAAGTTTGGCTTCTTCTTCCAGCTCAGAGGGAAAAGTTTGCTTCCAGTGGTGCTTTGTAAATGAGTTCCTTATCACCTCTTTTTGTTCCCAAACTGGCGTTTCTGCAGTCGAGGTGATGGCATTCTGCGTGCTCGGAGTGCTCGTGCTTACCTGCATAGTAACAAATAAATCTTCCTGAAGGTCAAAGGAGTTCACATCAGTGCTTTATGTAGAATATATTTCCTCTCCGTATTCAGTCCTCTCAGAAACTCATATTTCTTATGCCAGACTGTATCTGAGATGGAAACAGCCATTCCTCGTGGGCGTGAAGTTTGAATAATTTTTGCATAAAATTCTCCGTCTCATTCTTTTCGGTTAGCTCAATACGGCGTAATCTCTTTCCTATTCAAATTCCTGCCTATTGTATTCCCCTCAAATCTATTACACACACACCTCCCCCGCCTTTATCAGCGCCCCAACGTGTTTTCAAGACTCACTTCTGCTTTCTTAACAGTTAAACTGGGGAGAAACAGACCACACACACAGACACACACACAGAGCTTCCTGATTGTAACGATCACCTGTGATTGGAGGAAACGGAGCAGGGACAACACATCAAGCGGCCGTCCGTGGGGTTGGATCGTTGTGGAGACGCTGGCTGCTTCAAATGCTAGAACATCTCAGCAGCTGATTTCACATCGGTTCGGTTCGATGGTGAGGGTTGGTGATCCTCACCATCAGCAGATGTGTTCCTGTCACAGACGGTGGAGAGAACGTGGGGCCACACCTGTGTGTCTGCAGTAACCTGAAATTAAAACAAGAGAAGAGTTTGAGAGAGCTTGAGTAAAGCGCATCCCTGAGCCTGTAAATTAAACTGCAAAGGTGACGTGAGGTTTAAAATGTGCCGCGACACGCAGCGATTTGAGGCTTTCATACTTGACAACGTTAAATGACAGGTGAAACAATAGAAACATGTAGCCTTAGAAAGACTGTTATTCATGCGTCAGTTTACCACGCCAGACTGGCCACGCCCCCCCAAAGGTGCTGCATGACGCTGGGTTTGCCTCCATCCCAGGAAAATCAATGAAAAATGAGACGATCCCAGAGTTTGTTCTACAGAGGCACAACGATGCCACCATCTCTTCCTTTTTCCGCAGATGTGCATGCTCGCTGTTTTCATCAGCATCGGGAAAGTCGGGAACTTGAAGTTTCCTGTGAGCTCAGAGAAAATGTTTATTTTCTGTAAGTGTGACACAGTCCAGATCACAGCGTATGAAATATGTGTTTCTACGTTATCTGGCTGATATTCGTCTTCAACTCCCGCCCACACGGGGCATCATGTCCGTTGCTTAGCACGTTCAAAGTTTTGCTCAGGGCACTTCATCAAGATGAATGCTGGCCACACCAGTGCCCAGAATGTGCAGAAATGTTTAGTCTGCCTGTGATCCGGGCCTCGTGTCTCCCTCCCCGGCCTCTCCGTCCTGCTCTGCCAGTTGGCCCGTTGGCTCAGCTGTGTACAAACAAAGCCTCGGCTAAACACAGGACGGATCCGTTTCCACAGTTTCACTTCTTCCAGATATGAAAGTGCATTCCTGCCTTTGGTCGACTTCCGCTGTCTGAACACCGCTGTCTGTGTTCGTGCAGAGCTGAGCGGTTTTTTGAGCTTTTAGTTTTCTTCAGTTTGAGCTTTTCAACGAAACACTGGGATGCTTCATTGATTCTGATGAATGAAACTGCTGCTTGTTACATGTTAATGCATTATGGTTGGTTTCCTTGTATCTGATTGGGCTGTTTCACAAAGGTGCTAGCTGGACTGACGTCTGTGCAGCAAAGCAGAAAGCACAGTCTGCTCACATGACGGCTCGCTGCCACAGGATCCACAGCTATGCGACACGAGGACGTGTCTGCAGGGTGTCGAAGGCAGCGATGGCAAACAGAAGGCGAGCTCTAATTTAACGGCAATGTGAAGAAACAAAAAACACAGAAGCTCTGCCACAGTCTGAGGCTCACAGAAAAACCAAATCTGAACTGAGCACAAACCAGACCTGCAGCCTGAAATCCAGGAGCAGAAGCCAGGAAACAACCGGCAGCAAACCCGAGGATGCAAGGTGAAGCAGGAGGGATGCTTCAGGTTCAGCTCTGTGGTTCAAAGGTTCCTGGAGGATTCCTTAGACCTTAGTGAAAACAGGACCGCAGCCTCGCCATGATCACGAACGATCCGTGAGACTGGGGTCAGCTCTTTAGCGCAGCGGTCTCCAACCTTTTTAGCGCCACGGACCGGTTTATGCCCGACAATATTTTCATGGACCGGCCTTTAAGGTGTCGCGGATGAATACAACAAAATAAAACTAGTACCGGTACCGAAAAAAAAGAAGATTTATTCATAACACACGTGAAAAGACCCAGGAAAACCGAGTTAACGATAAAAACGATAACAACATAACGCTGAAAACCGATAAAAACCCTGAAAATCATACATTTCACACCAGAGCCTCAACTCTCGCGGCCCAGCACCAAACGACTCACGGACCGGTACCGGTCCGAGGCCCGGGGGTTGGGGACCGCTGCTTTAGCGACTACGTCACTGTGGGTGGAGGAATTTCTGCTTCAGACCTCTGAGCTTGAACTGAATTCCTGTGATTTTTGCAGGTAATCGAGTGTAATTGGCACCGTGACCACATTCATCACACACTGACTCCATCTCATCCCCACCACAGTCACTGAAGATGACAGCTGACTGTGTGAGACACTACAAAGCCTACCACATGTTTCACTCATATAAAATGTATAACTGAGCATATTTACTCTTCTAAAAATGACTAATAAAATAAAACTAATGCTGAAATAATTTTTCCCCTGAGACTGGTTAACTTTAACTGTCTTACACGTCTTTTCATTTAAGTGAATATGGAACATTTTCTAATATGTTCCTTTTATCTTCCTTTGTTTTTTTAGTGTTTATTGCCTTTAAAGATATTAATGCACCTTAAGGCAACTGTTATATAATTACAATACTCTGCTCTCTGTACAGCTGTCCATGCTCCTGATTGGTTACGTACTGTAAACTCCGCCTCTTTCACATAAACACGTTAATAATTAGACTGAATACCCACAGGGTGATCCATTGATGATGTCACATCCTGTACCTATTGAACTTTATCTGTAGTGCAGACGCTGGCAGGTAAGGGGGCCCCTGGAATCAAAGTGAGGGTCCCGATTCAGCCAGCATCTTTGTTCCCCCCTCAGTGAGGCTGGCGAGGGTTGAACGCCGCAATGTGGCAGCAATTTGGAGTAGTGCTATGACGAGAATGTGCAGCTGTCTGCATTTGAGAAGCTTTAAATGTTCGCGGCTGTCTGGAAGACGCATTTCACGGCCAGTTAGTCGGCAGGAAGTGTGTTGGGCCGGGGTGTTTGCGTAAACAGCTCGTAATAGTTTTAGCCTGCGCGCACACTGTCTACGTACACAAAACATGTATGCAATCACGTACTCTGTGCATGCACACACCTGTGAGTGCACACAGTGCGTGCACACAGGTGCCGCACATGGTGCACACACATTTCTTGGAGCAGGGTCCTGAGTTTTCTCTGTAGGTTTGTGAGTCCTCCTGCTGGAAGGATCTTTTGTGCTGTGAGCAGCTCCAGGCTGCAGGAGGAAATCATGCTGGAATCAGTGCGTTCAGAACGAGACTGAGCACTTGAACGTCAGCCCTCACATTGAACCCGGGACCTCCTCCCAGCTGGGTCATTTTCTAATATCAGACACCTCTGTTTTTTATTAGCTGCAGAAGGCACATCTTCACTGGCCTTTTCAAACTTAAAGTTCATTGATGTTTCCTTTTTCTCTTCTCAGTAATACTAATAATAATACTCTCAGCTGATTCACAGCTGAAAATGCAGCACACCACAACAGCGTGCTCGATTATTACGTTCGTCTACATTAATATGAAACTTATTTTAGGTGATCTTTTTTCTGAGTCTGCATCTCATTGGTTTTGCACGTGTTTAAAGATGGTTGCTCCCTCCAGCTCCTCTCATTATTTCATTTTTATATCGATATGAAGTGCAGCAGTTTGGTTTCACGCTTGTATTTAGCTCTGGTTTGGAGATGGAGTGTGTTTTAGGTCAGCTGGTGAACACTGTCCTCCCAGTCTGACTGCTGTCGGCGTTAAAAAGCTCCTGAAACACTTCTTTTCCCATTATGACAACGATAAAAGGCGTTAGCTGAGATCACTCCCCGGTCTGACGTCCCTCTCTCTTTAATTAGAAAGTGCCTTTTCCTTTTGTGTGTGACTGCTCTTATTTATTTGTGTTGGAGTCCCAGAGCTGCTTCATCTGAGTCCAGCTCGGGTTTCCCGTCCTCTCCTCTGAGTGTTGGTCAGGTTGCAGATGGTTTAATGTAACTCCACACCACTTATCTCATCCACTCAGCTCCGACTTCTCATTCAGACCCTTCCTTCACGTTTCAGGTGTTTCACTTTTGCTCCGATGAGCTCATGGATTTTTGTGGTGGCCCAGTCAGTGTCAGCTTTCAGCATAAATGCAACAGTAAAGCAGAAGCCTGTGCATGTGTGCTGGTTTAGTGTTTCAGACAGACTCACTGAAAGCTCTTTCCTCCTCTCGATGCGCTCCTTATTCTCCGTATTCTGCTTATTTGAATGGTCTTACAGCCGTGACGTGCTCCTCAGCAGACACTGAAAGCTGTGTGAATAGTGGAACAGATTTGTCATTTTGGAGGCTGCTTCTTTCTGCCTGTTAAATTAACTCCCTCCGTCTGTGTTTTCAGGTATTGCGTGCTCCACAATGGGAACCACTCAGAGCAGGAGAAGAAGTCCCTGCACACCCACATAGAGTCTCACGAGTCCTGCTTGTGACCAACGGCACGGACACCGCCGCCTTCACACATCTGGAGCTGAAATCCGTCATCGATGCTACGAATCTAGAGCCCAGCAGGACTTTAGCGGTGTGTCAGAGGGGCGGGGCACTGCCAGTGGGCCATCTGGTTTCAAAGCTCTGCCGAGACTTGACCCGCCCGTGAGGCGAGCATATAAAGCCAGCGCTGTGTCGCATTGGTTCTGTCGTCTGCAGAGGCCAGATGACACTGAGCAGAACCAGGACGGCGATGTCATCAGTGGGCCGCTGGCCACCACACATGGCAGTGGCGTCTGTAGGAGAATGTGATTAATGACTTGGAAGTGAATCATGTGGCCAAAGCTTTCCGATGACACTCAACGGACCCGTTTGTGATTGCGTTGTTTCCACGATGTCCCTGTAAATGAGCCTTTAAGCCAAGTGTTTCAGTTTCTAACTGCTTTTTCCGAATATCCACACAAAGTCTCATGAATCCTCACTCGGCCAAGAGCATAAGGTTGCATTTAAGCCTTGATTTAAACTGTCCAAGTGCATTATTACAGAGGCTGCTGTGCTCATACGCCACCATCTGAGTGATTGTCTCTCTTCCACAGTGAGAGCTGCAATGAGTGATTGGAAGTGTTGGTCATTTCGGTGTTGTCAGAGGTGTTTGTGAGGCTCTCAAAGGGGATTCAGCCCGTGTTACATCCATCCCACCCTGACGCACCACGTCCCCTCTGCATAAACAAGCATTTGCACTCATGAAACCTGAACAAGCCGACCGCTCGCAGTCACGTCTGTTTCCCTGCGTGCCTCCATGCAGGACTCTTCCTGCTGCTGCTGTTGTGTTTTTTCTCATTAGCACAAGAAATCGGCTTAAAGGCTGTCACACATCAGCCGTGTCATTTCACACGATGAATTTGTCCCGTTTGTTTTTCCAGATTAAACTGAGTCTGACCAATCGGATCGCTGCGTTTGGTAACAAATCGCAGCATGTGAAAAATTCCAAATTTCGTTTTTTGCAACGCGCTCGGTGCGTAAAGGCCTCGAGTCGAGGAAGCTTTACGCGGCCCAGCACCTCTAGAGTCTCTGAGCACTACGACACGCTGGACGCCGGTTAAAAGTAAACTCACCAGAGCATGAATGTCACTGCTTTCGTCCCCTATCACCCTCACTTGTGCTGAAGGTGGCTGAGAGACTTGGGCATGTGAGGCTCGAACTGCAGCTCTGCGACGTGTACATCTTCATTTTACAGTCGGTGGCAGGTCTGACACACCCGGTTAAATGGTGACCCAGCTCCAAAACACACACGGCGTTAGAAAATAGCAGGAGGCGAAAGAGAAGCACGTTCCAGAGGCAGATCCTGTGCTTTGGCGGGACAATGATGAAATTAATGTTGCTGCCGCAGCTTCTCTGCCGCTGATTTAAATTGGCCCTTTTTGCTAACATTGTGGTCGTGACAGTCCAACGAACCCAGGTCACTCCAGGGCTGCTTAGTATCTGCTTACTGTGGAGATTTGTGGTCCTCTTTTGGTCAAAATGTTCTTCACAAAAAAACGATTGAAGGTTTGACTGTGAGCAAACATGAAAGTTTAACATTGGAGCAGGCTCGCCTCTCACATTCAGCTAATTCTACTTCTTGTTTCTGGCTCTTCTTTTTTTGCTGATAAAAACATTCCTCTCACTGCACAGAGCTGTTAATGAAAAGATATCTGTAAAGCAACAAAATTCAGAGACCAAGGCTGATGTCATACAGAGGCAGAGGCAAGCAGTCCTCTCAGATCTCTTAATCAGAGGGACACACTGCTGAGCGCTGATGCTGCAACACAAAGACAGACGAGGAGCTCTTGACACGGAAAGGTAGTTACTCATCATCAGAGATGGCTAAGTGGAAATATCCAACCACGTTCAACTTCCCAGACTGACATCCACCCGTGCTGCTCCGGCACACGGGTGGATGTCAGCTGCAGTTGGATATGTGCAGATGGTGAGCGTGGTCATAAACACAGTTTTTTGGTTATGCTTTGGCCTGCAAATGCACGGCGAGGCCGGTAACGCGGGCGTGTTTTGTTCCTACGCGTATCTGTGGACTCGAGAATCACTTTAAATGTTAAAGACATTGAAATTAAGGCCTCATTGTTCCGTGTTTACACCAACTCATAAGAATTTATGAGAAAACAGCGTGCCCAGACCGTGGTTAGACCTCAGTTCATAATGTACTTGCAATCGATTCTCCAAAATTGAAAAGCAGTTGGCTTTCAGGGCTCAGACGCGTTCCACCTCTGCCCACAATCCTTTGCAATTTGGAGTAATTTCGTGTAACCGGATCAGATGCTGTTCTCACTGCTCGCTTCTCTGAAGGTGCAGCTCCAACCCAGGCTGCCTGTTTCTGTGCCAGTGCCCCTGAGAGCGGGAGAGCAGGGCAAAAGGTTCGTAAAGGGCCGTGAAGATTTTAGCAAACAGAAAATATTCTTCAAAGCTGCTTTTGTCATGAAAAGTTCCTGAACTGTTCCTGATGTGGATCCCAAACAGGAAGTGTGCAGTTTTTCAAAATGATTTCTCATTTATTGTTATTGTTATTATGAGTGTGGCACCAGAGTCCTCACACAGCTGATCTTTAAGTCGTCCAGTGTTCTGAGCATCGGTGACATGAAGCGTGCGGGCAAGATAATCCGAGCCAGTTGGCGAGCAGCAGCATCGCCTCCTTCTAAAGTGAATTCTGGCTTTAAGCAGCTGATCCGTCCCTCGCTAACATCCCTGCAGACAGTGTCTCTGAATCATCAGTCTTCCTTTTAACTGTCTCTCTGTGACATCAGTCGGTGCCCGTCCTTGTGTGTGTTGGAAACCTGGGCTCTCCAACCTTTAAAAACTCTAATGGTACAGTTTTTTTTAAACAGACCAAAAGCATCACCTGTCTGTTTGGAGAGCAAGTGTGAGGCCAGAGGGATATGCAGCCAAACTGGAAACACCTCCACGTGTGAAACATGTAGGTCTTATCAAGTCTGACGACAGCCTTGGATTAACACTGCATGCTCACACTCATAGTTCTGCAGAGGAGCTCGTTTAATGTTTGGCCTTGTGACTACAGAGGTCAGTTTCTACTCTCTGTTTCTACTCTCACTAGAGCCTAAAAGCACAGGCAGCAGCAGGATGTAGTGGGTATTTATTAATCTGGCCACACAAAGTTTGTTCCTGCGGTTAAAGGAAGGAAACAGATGAGTTAAATTTCAGCTTGTTCAAAGCATTTAGAGAGAGAAACACAAAATCACAACAAATCTTCTTATCTTGAGGGGCTGTGACTGCACTACACCTTCAGTGTGTTCATAACCTCCAGTTTATCCACCGCGATCAACAAGGTTCTGCTTTCGTGAGCTCACACATCATCTTGGGACCAAGGTTCTCGGCAGAGCAGGCGGAGGACGCCCCCCACATGCTCCAGCATTTCATGGCTGCTGTCCAAGTCCTGCTTTATAGGAAACACAGCTGGATCTTTCATTGATGGCATTGACAGAATCAGGATAAAGACTTCCAGCAGAGTGCAGAATGTATGCATGCAGCAGGATGTGAACAGCAGCTGCCAGCTGCACGTCTGGTGCGTCTTCCTCTTTCTCTGAATCACGTCTGCAGAACCCGTCAGAGGTTTGGAACAAACCTCTGACGGGTTCTTTAACTTCTGTTCACAGCCTGCAGCATGAATGTGTATATAAACTAAACATATAACTCCCATAACCTGTCCAAAGGAGACAAAATGACTTTTATAAAACTCTTCAGTATTTATTTTGACAGAACAAAATGGGTATTTTCATGTATTAAAAGAGCAGAAAAGCTTCTCTTTCAGGGAGCTGACATATGTATGACTTTGTTTCTGTTGCTATGTGACAGTTCTGATAAAGGAGAATTAAAGAAACGTTGATAAGCCTGCTGTTGATTTTCTTTGTGAGTCTGAACACAGAGACGGCATCAGTCGACTGATCGAAACGTAATGAAAGCGCTTCGTTACCGCCGCCGAGCTAAGCCGAGCTCGCTTTCCTTTTGATACGTGAAGCTCATAAAGATGAAGTTTCAGTTTAGCGAACTGAAACTTGATGATAAAGCCCAGACAAGACTTCATCACTAGTCAGTGATGAATGGAAGTATTGCTCACTTCTGCTTTCTCATTCAGTGTTTTACCATTTAAACCAAAGTCATCCTTTTTTTTTTTTTTTTATAAATTTTATTTTCAGTCACAGCAGCATGTTAACAACAAAACATTGAACATACAGTATTTTGCTGTTCAGTATTTACAATACCCCAAAAGATAACAGAAATAGAGAAGGAAAACAAACAAACAAACCAAAGAAACCCCTACAAAACAACAAAAAAAACAAACAAACAACAACAAACAAATATAAAAATAAAATGTATAAGGGACATTCAGTGTACAGTTAACTATGATAGTGATATAGAGATATGGCATCCGGTCATGATAAGGTGGTCATTTTAAATGTTTCCATGTACATCAGGAATGACTTCCATGCCTTAAGAAATTTGGTGGTTGAACCTGCCAGTGTATATCTCATCTTTTCTAAATGTAAAAACCTCATGAGCTCTGCAAGCCACTGTTCATGTGTGGGAGGAGCTTCCTGCTTCCATCTTAAAAGTATAAGGCGCCTTCCGATAAGTGAAGCAAAGGCAATAGAATTCGAATAGCATTTTGGCAAAGTGATGTCTTGAGGTATCACCCCAAAGATAGCCGTTAGAGCAGAAGGATCATATTTAACGTTATACATCTCTGACAGAGTGTTAAATATAGACACCCAATAGTTATGAAGATTGGGGCATGTCCAAAAGGTATGAAGGAGCGAACCTGTTTCTGCTTCACATCTGTTACACAGAGGGTCAGCTCCTGGATAGAACTTGGCTAACTTTTCCTTGGAGATATGTAATCGGTGTAGGACCTTGAATTGAAGTAGCCCATGCCTGGCACATATCGAAGAAGAGTGTACCCTCCGGAGAAAAGATTGCCAGAGTTCATCTGTTATAGTCATCCCAAGGTCTCTCTCCCACTGTGCTTTAAGGATGAAGAGAGAAGGAGATTGAAGATCTAATAATATAGCATAGATTTCTTTAATCGCCCCTCTCTTATGAACGTTTATATTAATAATTTTATCCAAAAAAGTTTCCTCAGGTAGTTCAAAGTTATCCTTAAAGTGCCGATGAGACGTGCTCAGGGCTGCAGGTACACTCATGTAGATGGATGCCAGTGGACATGTGATACTTCAGCCGGGCTCGGCACACGTGCATCTCCCACACCTGTGCATCCAGCTCTACAGGTGCAGGTGTAGCAGAGCTCAGAGGGTCAGGCGTGCTTATTGTTTTGGCCTAAGAGTCCCAGCTGTCCCCTCAGAGGACTCACTAATGGTCATAGCCAAGGTGTGGGGTAATGGATTACTAATTACTCTTTACTTTTCTTAAGAGTATGATACTTAATTACTCACTGAAGAACGTAATTAGTTACTTTCTTCAGGTCATCTTACTCTGTAAGATGAAATTGTCTCATAATTATGGTAAATGGCCTGCATTTGTATAGCGCTTTTACTCAGTCCCTAAGGACCCCAAAGCGCTTTACCCTACATTCAGTCATTCACCCATTCACACACTGGCAATGGCAAGCTACATTGTTACATTGTAGCCACAGCTGCCCTGGGGCGCACTGACAGAGGCGAGGCTGCCAGACACTGGCGCTACCGGGCCCTCTGACCACCACCAGTAGGCAAACATGGGGTTAGTATCTTGCCCAAGGATATTTGGCATGCAGCCTGGGATCAAACCACCGACCTTCTGATTAGTGGCTGACCTGCTCTGCCACCTGAGCTACAGCCACCCCTTGGTTGTAAATCTGAGGCTGCGGTCCCACCCACAGACCCTGTGCTCATGAGGACACGCTGCGTGTGAACAAAGATGATGGGGGTGTTGACTTTAACCCCCCACCCACAGCTTAGTTAGATCATCTCAACAGGTCACATGACAGAGCTGGCGATGGTGTTATTACACTAGATCAAGTAATCACATTACAGTTACAGTTATTACAAAGGTTCTTGAGTTCTCTGAATCAAACAACATGATCAACAGTGGGGTTAAACAGCTGTGTCTTTGAAGGCACCACAGCTGGATCAGGTGGATCCAGCTGTGGTCTGGACAGACAGAGAGGAACAATGTGTTTATTTGGTAGTTCAATGAAAGGCTTCATTTAGTTAAAATCTGCATTCATGTTTGCAGTTTTGTCTTGTTATATTTGAAAAAAACAAAACATTTTCAGAAATATTTATGGGTGTTTTCTTGTTTGGGATGTTTGTTTTGTACTACTTGGACACTAAAGTGGCTAATCAGACAACAGTGCCTGCAGTGGCCCACAGCTCATTGAAGTTTGACACCCCTGATTTAGAGCTTCAGCACTGCTTCGTGTTCAGCTCCAGAGGTTCCAGGTTCGCTTTAATCGTTGGAATTTTCTTGAATGTAGCACAAACGTATTTTATTTCTAACTTTATATTATTGCTTTGGATGGTCAGCATGCTTAGTTAGAACCCTTCAGCTGTTCCTGACTGTGGTGAAACATGAGGAAACTTTTCTCGATGCTGTGAGGCTGTAACAGAACCAGCCCCCCCGGTTCTGGCAGGGACCAGGGGGGACAGAGAACTGAAAAGCAAATAGCTGCTCACAAACAGGGATTCATATACATTAAATACTGAACACAGCTTCTGATGAATCCTGCAGGTGTGCATGCACCGACATTAACAATAACTGACTGAAAAAATGTCGTCTTCAGCTGTTTCATTTCATTTCATTTACTTCAGCTTTTAGATTCAGACTTGTGGCCCGACTGCAGGATTCCTGCATGTATACTTCTGAAAATCTTACCTCCCAATAATCAAAGGTCACAGGTCAGTGTTTGAGGTTGTTGGTTTTTTTACTGTTGCGTGTAATATGATTGGAAATCAGCTATGACTGCTTAGATTCAGGGCTCTGTACAGCAGATGAAGCTGAGGACGTGGTTATCTGTGTGCATACTGGAATAATGCACAGAAGCTCAGGCCGTGGAGCGTGCTGCATCCACAACAGCATCTCAGACGCAGAAGTTTAAAGAGCCTGCTGTGAAGAGGACAGACTGGAGAAAACTACACTTTATCTGCACCAACAGCTGCAGGGTAAGATCTGCCACACCAGACCGCACCGAGACTTGGCCTGCTGCAGACAGAGACGCCTGCGGTGACCCTCCAGTCATCACTAGAGGAAATACAGACTTGCTTCAGCATCATTCACTTATAAAAAATGATTTCACTGACACTGAAATTATTTTTACATTTTCTCTGTTATGCAAAAATAAATCAAGGCAGAAAATGATTCAGGCCTGTGAGTCTGATACAGCTTATGCTCCTCTGTGCAGGTCTGTGAGCGTGCAGCAGCATCAGGATGGTGTGCAGAACCAGCACATCTGTGTACTGTGTACTTTATCTGTGGTGCTATTAAAGTACTGCATTCTGAGGTTTAATATAACGAAACATTAAGCATGTTTGTCTCAGCAGTTTTCCACATGACTGCCTGCAGAGAATCTGTGTTAGTCCTCATGTCTGCCCAACATTCAAACACAGCTGATGGAAGTGATCTCGAGCTCTTTGCCAACAGCAGATCTTTGCCAATCAGAAGCAGGCAGAACAACGAGAACAGCAGGCGCAGAGCTGGGGCTGAGACTGGCAGTCAGAGACAGCGAAGTTAATGAAGCAGCCGGTCAACACTCCGAGTCAATTTAATCAGGAGGAGAAAATCCGTCCTGATGAGAGTTTAATGTGGTTACCGGCAGCTCGTTGTCTGTGGACCCAACAGAGTGCACAGGAAAGAGAGATGTGACGGAGCTGACCGTTCCCATTTCCATCCAACTACACGCTGACCTCTGCTTAGTGTTCCAAGGGGCACGGGGAAAGCATTCTCCACTTCTGAGAACGCCTTCTGGCTCACTGTTCCCTCTGTTAAACCTGAACACACTAACCAAAGCCCAAACATAGTCCAAGAAGAGTCCAAACAGAGTCTACGCAGAGTCCACCTAACCACTTCAGACTCTGAGCATTCTCACATGAGCAGGTGTTAAGCAGGCAGAAAAAGAGGCACTTACAGCCCACCTGCTCCCAACCAGGTGATGTGTTACCATGGTGATCTAACAGGCTAACAGACTGATGGGTTCATTCATTTCTGACTCTGAGTCAACCTGAAACAGAAAAAAAGACGATTCATCTGCTCCAAAACTAAAAAGCTCAAATGACAGTTCAGCCGTGCTTCAGCACAGAAAGGGACGTTAGCACACTAGTAACATGACACACTGAGGCTGTTTTACCTTATTAATTACAGTCAGTATGTAGGAAAGAAAGGTGTGTGCCTGTCTGCGTGTTTTCATGCAGGTATGTTGCAGGTCCTGCAGACAGAGTGTGCAGAGAACTCCCCGTCACAGTAAGAGAATCTAAGAAGCTTACAGTAACTGTAACAGACTAGTTATTGTAACAGCAGTAACTTTTACTCTGTGACAGGTGTGTGTATGCTGATAAAGAGCGGCATGCGCTGAGACTGATGGAGGAAGGCAGGAGCAGAGACAGGTGAGCGGGCAAACTGGATAAACTGGAGCAAATTATCTTTGGATGTGATCATCGTCCACGTCTGGGCTGGATGTGAGCTCTAAATCTCCACAGGCTTGTAAAGCATGAAATCAATTAGACGTGCAAAGACTTTAGTGAGACTATTCATGATGTTGGAACGAGACTCAGATGACCTGTGGGATTCATCAAGGCTGCATGATTGGATTGAGGCTGGAACGGAAATAAAAGCAGGATTCACAATGGTGAGGGATGACACTCAGACGGTTCTCGTGACTCAGACGGATGAATGGTGGGGTC